AAATAGCTGCCTGAACAGCTTAAACTGGTAGAAAGCGCATCAAAGGGGTAGTGGAGGTGGTGGCATCGGATAAATGGTAGAAGAAAACCATTGTTTGAGGCCCTGAGGGTTCAATACGCTTTGATTACCGTAACTTACAGTCTGCAAAATCATTAAACTCTCCTCGTATTACCATCAACTATCGCGAAGAAAATACCTCAACCACAAGAATCGAAGTCTAGGCGGTATTAGAAAGTGTCACGATAAGTCGAAACAAGAAGTCGACCCAACCCGCCAACGTCGTCTTAAGCAAATCCCCATTCCCAAATATAACCACCCAGCCAAAACCGAACAAAACAAAAACGGGGTTGCTACTCAAGAGGTACGGAGCACGGGTGTCGGATGAGCACACAGACAAACCCTTTGGAGTAGTGGCACCCGGTAGATCGGCCGTGCATTTTCAGGTCCCTCCTCCTCCTGTGCCCCCCGGGCCCGGAAAGTGTCAGGACGTTGTTTCATAAACCTCTTACACTCTATCCCATCTTTTTCTTCTACCTCTCCCCCTTCTCTCCTGGAGCGACCAGTGACATTTCTTCCTCACTGGTTCCACCACAGGGTCATAGCCTGGCGAGAGGCACCCTTCTCTTTGCGCGCATCAGAAAGTGAGGAACAACGCTGTTGGCCTGTTTCTGCTGGTCTTCTTTGAGGGTTGAACAGGAACAGCAGCACAGATTCAGAAAACCGGGCACGGGACACTAGAGAGCACAAGACATACATTTGCTGAAGATACAAGACGAAGAAAAGGGATAATAGCCTCAGTAGCAGCCAAACACGGCTCTCGAGCCTGACCATCTCGTGTTGCCTTGTAAACGAGAACCTTATCAAGAGTGGCAGGCTGCACGATCAAAAACAGGCACCTCATCTGACTGTACATTCAACTGCAAGAGAACAGTATCCCTACGCAAAAAGGCCCCTGTTCTCGCCTTCAACCACCTCGCAGACAGGGAGAGCAAGATAGGGAAAGGGAAACCAATCACAATACCTGTCCCCCGTCTCGTCCCTGACCGTTGGGAATCTCGAATCCGTCAAATACTTCTCTTGTCTCAATCCAGCTGTTGAGAACCTGAGCATATGTTTAAAAGAGAGAGTGGTACCAAAAAAGACCCCTTCCCGCAGACAAGAAACAAAAAGAACCCTGTTTTCTCCCTCTGCTCGCCCGCGCGCCTGCGACCCCTGGAAACTTGGAAAGTTCGCGCCAAAAGATCTCACGCCCCAAGGTCCCAAGGAAGCCGCAGCACCACCAACCAGCACACCCAGCCAGGCCCCAACCCACACCGCAGCAGCTGTACACCAAATCTGACTGGTCCAAACGGGGGCGCCCCAGGGACCTGCCACCTACCAGCAACCACCTACTGCGTACTCCGTACCTACCGCAGCCCGCTGGGCCAAGTCCAAGCCTCAAATTCGGCAAAAGAGGCTACGTACGACGCTTCCTCTTCTCTTGGCCGCGCCGCCCCGGGGAAAGCTGACAACAACACTTCACTTAACCTCACCTCACCCAACCACTCCACCTTCAAACCTCGAATTCCAACAAAACAGCAGTCCAGAAAGCTCGATTCTCACCAGACAACGAGCCAACACCCACATCAAAAGAGACAATCAACTCACCGATCCTACCACAATCCGATCTCCCTTTGCTCCCGTGCTGTCGATCCCATCTCCGTGAGCTGGAATTCGGACCATCTCCACAATAGCTCAGAAAGTCCACGTACGCCAACCTAAAAAGAAAAACGTTACCACCGCAAACCACATCACACTACCGCCAAGATGACGCTCAAGGAGGAATTCGCGACCAGAAACTTCAGTATGTCTACCTTCCCAATGGCTTTGCGCGGCTGGCGCTGTCTTCCTCATTTTGAACTTGATGCTAACCTGTCACTACAGGCATTTACGGCCAATGGTAAGAGCTTCCCTGCTCAGCCCATCATCCCTCGCTCCCTCGCGCAATGCCCCCCTTCGATTGCCTGTCCGCGGGGACACGATCCGAGATGAATACTCCCCGCGGCAGGCTGCGATTCCGGAAAACCTCTCCAGGAGAGCTTGTTTCGGCGCAATACACTTTGGGAGGCATAATGGCTGACTCGAGAATCAATGCAGGCTCGGCGTCTTGTCGATGATCTTGTGCTTAGCACTGGGCATCGCCAACATCTTCACCATCCATCTCCTTCTCATCATCTTCTGCGCGCTCGCCTTGTAAGACTACCTGCGCTCCCTCCGCTCTGAGCCGGAGCTCCGTTCTAACGTAAACCTCTAGGGCCTCTGCGCTGGTGATCCTCTTCATTGAGGTCCCTCTGTTGCTCCGAATCTGCCCTACCTCGGCCACGTTCGATGGCTTCATCCGCAAGATCTCGACCAACTACATGCGCGCCGGAGCCTATGCCGGCATGGCTGTCATTCAGTTCCTCAGCACCATCATCGTTACCAGCAGTCTGATCGCCGCTGGTGTGTTCCTGTCGCTGACGGCCATCTGCTACCTTCTCGCCGCCGTCAAGGGCCAGGCCTTTGTCGGCAGCAAGACGCTTGGTGGCCAGGGTGTTGCCCAGATGATTGTCTAGGAGAAGAATCAGCAATTAGAATGTCGGGGCAACGAGATGCCCAAATCAGCAGCTCCGGACGAAGGAGCGCCGGCGCCTGTAACGACAGCTGAACAAGTATAGGCAACATTAGTGATATCCAGTGCCTGGAAGCACGAACAAAATGGGGGGACGAAAGGGTTGTGGAGTGTATACAATTGCGAGTATCGAGGCTCCGTGATAGGCCACTTGGCGCGTGAAGCGCAATGGGTCATGAGAGGTTGCAGAGGGCAACGCGGAGACTGGTGTGTTTTGATATGCAACGACCGGCATATTCGGAAAGGAAACTCGGCGTCCCGGGACAAGCTCAGGCTTTGCGTGTACGACTTCGGATTGCGCTTTTGGTTCTTAGAAGCTCCGGAGGTTATGATAGCTTTCTTCATTGCACTGGATTTTCTGTTTCGGAGCTTTCTTGAAACTTTTGATGGTTCGCTCTCGTGCGCATTGAGCAGAGTCGAGTCGTCCGACTGCCTCCATGCACGTGTACCGCTCCAGATCGGAGTACGGCAGAAGAGGATCGGCATCAAGCTTGCCAGCTCACAGCTTACAAGTGATGTTGCGCAAGCTTCCTAGCATTGTTCTTGTTCAGTCGCTATAGCTTGAACCACAGCTAGCTTGCGAAGCGAGTCAACGGTGAGGATCGAAAGAAAATGGCACTAGTGGTGCCGGTGGCGGGAGGAGGGGGAGCCAGCCAGGTAATAGCTCGCAGGCCTCGGAGCTAAGGTGAGCAGCCAAAAAGCTACTTCTCATGCAGAGGGACATCACGCACATTATGAAGCGTAACCGTGAAACCATGACCGCCGTTTGGGGGTTTGACCCAATTGGACGAGCTAGATAGTTCATGATGGAGGCTTGGAGCGGGAGGGGGGCATGGCCGGAATCTGCCCCTCATGTTTCTAGTCGCGAACTACCTAGTGTGAGTGAATACTCAAGTTTTTTTTTTTTCCTTCTTCTTGCTTCTGAACGTATCCTGTGAAACCCCGGATATTGACGTATGCCTCGTCATTTTTTTTTCCCTGCGCGGGGAGTGTAACATGATGAACGGTTAGCTTTGTGGATACCTGCCGTGCTACCGAGTACAGACGATGGCGTTCGGTTGATGGGAGATAGCAGCATCCATCCGTACGACGCCAAGAAGTGAAAGAGCTGGCGTAATTGGCAATTAGGTTATGGCAAAGAGTGTTTGTCAAAAGTCGAGCGCATTTATATCATCACCCATCGCATTACTGGCAATGAACCTGGTCCTAAGTTCAATGGGTAGAGACCAAGAAGTTGAGGACGGCAACGCACTACATGGCGTCATCCAGCAGCAGCGCCGTGGGAAGACGGAGCTGCTAAAAAAGCCGTGGTCCAGCTCTGGACGAAACGAACGGCACAGTGAAGATGCAAGAAAGGTGAACGGAGCTTCTGGCCCTGATCGACCGTGACGATGTATTTCCCCGTTTTCCTCCCCACAAGGGTCCTGCGAGATGAAGGAAGGGTTTGCTTATCCAGAAGAACCTCAGTCGCAAAGCTGGCACAAGGAGTAGGATTTTCCCGGCCGGGCCAGCTCAACTTTTTTTCGAATCTTCGAAGAAACCTCGGGAATCACCTTTGCTTGTAGCTTGTTTTGAGACGATCGGTTTCCCGGTCCCGCCTCTCGCCCAGGGCGTTCCAGCAACTGTCATCATCCGAAGAAAGCCAGCCAGGTGCTGGAGCATTTTCCAGGGACACTCGTGGATCGATCGTCAAACAATGGGGCTCTTCCCGTCTCCAGTTGACGGTTAATAATGACAGTGCATTGCTGGATAACGGAGCCGTCTACGCTGGTTCCAATTCTCTGTGACAGTCTGACGGAAGGACCTCCACTTGGGATGTCGTCAATTGAAAGACATCCGTAATTCTGACGGAAAAGGGAGCGTTCTGGCCGTCTGAAAAAAAGAGCCGGGCTGAGCGCGGACGGTGGGAGGGAGCCAAGACCGTGACAGCGGCCGTCAGAGGCCGTCGGAGACAGCGTCCGACACAAGCCAGCTCTTAATGTTTAAGCGATTGTAGGAGAGGCATTTGTTCATGGCCCGAGGACCAAGGCAATTGAGAAATGCCGCCCCGAGAAAATCCCTCGAGCATGCCCGCATGCGCTCCGGCGCCCGTCCAGATGCTTCCGAGTTGCCAGAGATGGAAGCCCGAGAGGCGGTGCCGTTTAGATCCAAGTGATGCTCCTGGACAAGCGCCCGCAGTCACAGTCCGAGAAGCCGGAAAATCCAATTAAATGGATCATGTCTCTAGTTGTTGCGGTGAGAGATGAGTACGTATTCCAGAGAATAACAGTGTGGTGCAATACAGGGTAAGCTAGTATATGAACCACAGACTGAACAGAGAGACTGTGAGAGAGTATTGCGAGGGATCACGATGGTCCATTGGCAGGGTTGTCTAAAACGGCTCCCTCTCTTGGGCATGTGTTTGTGTGGGAAATGTTGTATCGAGATCCAAACGGACGAGGCACCGTCGTCTGGCCAGCTGCAGGCCGGTGCCCTTTCCATGCAGAGCTTGCAGCATCTCGTGGTCTGGGAGGTGGGGCTGGTCTTGGGAGACAATGACACTGGACTCTCGGGGGAGGGAAGAGGTCAAAGGCTTTTAGGGCGAGTCGAGGCGCACTGTAGACTTGTTGTGTTGGTAGCCAAAGACGCAATATGGTCCGGTAAGGTCCAGGTATCTCGCTGGGCCTCTCTTCCCGGTTCACGCATCCGGTTGCTGGCAAAGGTACTTGACGAAATCGAGAAGGTACCTGCTCTCGGGACCGCCCATGCCCCGGGTCTGGCCCGCCTGAGGCTGGACGCCTGGGGGGTCGGTGGCCATGGTCAGCGGGTGACTTTTCGAACTTTTCTCAGTGGACAGTTTCGATTGGGGCGCAGGCGGGCTCGACCTTGGACCAGACGACGCCCTGTGGAGATGCCGTCCACTATGGGCGAGAGCCACGGTGGGTATCCTGGGACCGGCTGCCCTGCCCGCCGCTGGATGAGTCCAGGGTCGACTTGTCAAGAGGACGGGAAGCTGGCCATGTCTTTGTTGCCTCTGGACGTTTGAGCAGCCAGGGGAAGCAATGTTGTTGATTTTTGATGTGTGTGTGTGTGTGTGGTCCCAGGTCGTACAGAGAGTGACTCTGAAATTAGAACGTGGTGAAGAAGAATGCAAGGTGGCCGGATGTGCGTGAACGTTGCGCCAAGTCGTGTCTGTTGGAAGACTGGAACGAAGGAACCCCCCGTGTCCCAGATGGACATTCCCAGTGCGCAGGTGACTCGGGACGAGATGGGTTTCGCGTTGCTGATTCTAGATTTCGACGCTGACGCGAGCACACACAAATGGGAAGCAGAGCACGTTTGATCTGGTCGAGGCGTTGGCAGGTGACGGCCGAGGGAATCCACAGTCACAGTGCCCTTTTTTTGTGTTTCCCCCTTCCCCGTCTTTTGGTGCTATTTGTAGTTGAGTGCTTCGGAATCCTTGGAAGCGGGTTTGCGGACGGCCGGCGAATTTGGCGAGTCGCTGAATCTCAACCAGGTCTGTAGACTGGTTTGAACGCAATTGGTGCTGTCCTGTGCTGGGATCTTCACACTCAATTGAGCCTCTGACGCCTCTCTCAGAGTGGCAGCTGCAATAAGAGTAGACGTGGATCTGGGTTGGAAGGACACTTGGTTCGATCGATCGATTGGGGGTGGGATGATGGAGAGTTTCCTGGTCAACTTTCTTCCCGATGGCCCTGGAGCAGTCGGTTGAAGTGTTCCTGTCTGAAAGTAACAGCAAACAAAGCGAGTCAACAGAAAAGAACAACTCACCTCTTGCTCATATCAGCTAGCTGCTTCCTGGACGCGATGTTGCTTTGTCTGGTCCGTAAGGTAGGTAGGTAATAGCTTGCCGTTCGTATCGTTGAGAGGAAGGTCGTCCCCTGACGTTGAAGACGAGAAAAGGTACCTTGCTGGATGAGAGGTATCGTAGGTATTCGTACATTTCGTACAAGTACACGACCTCGTGGGGAGGTAAGAAAAAAGACTTCGACTTTGATTATTGCAACTTACACTACAATTCGAGGTGAGCACCTCAGTCTCCAGCGCATGCCGTATGATGCATTAGTGGGCAAATGGCGGGGTACTGTGGATTCCCCAAAAACAGATCATTCAGTACTGTGCCAATACGAGAGGAGACTTACTGTATGACAGCAAGCCCTCAAACCTGCAGCTTTCAATGCAAAGAGTGCCACCAAAGTGCGCATCGCCGGCACAGCGTCAACTCGATGGCCAGGTACTCGAGGTACTCGTGTACATGTTCTTCTGCTTTTCTCGCTGGACCGGCATCGAGCATCCCTGCTTTTGTGCCATGGAATACGTCGCTCGTGACTGGCTGAGAGAGGGCAGCAGCACCGTCACCGAACCAGCTGGTTTCGTCAAGCCAGAATATAAAAGCTCGAGGGTCAAGGTGACTTTTCTCCTGCTTGCTGCCCCCCCCTGGATTTGCTCGTCATATCATCTGTTCAATGTGTGTACTCAGCATACAAATCAACTCTCTCACCATCTTCCATTTGCCCTTCACCTCGCGAGCGTTACGATAACACCAATTCCACACAGCATCACGGAATAGCCCAGCTCTTTAGGATCTCACTCCCACCACCTCAATTCACCTTATCTCTTATCTCTCACCTTTAGCTGTAAGTGGACTCCGTCCTGCCAGACCGCACTCGTCATTGTTGGTTTCCCACCGGACTTCCCTCCCTCCCTCTCCCGCACCATACGGCAATCAACAACCCTTCCCCCGGTTTGCTGAGCTTGGTTTACTGCTACTACTCCGTACTGGTATCCCTACTCCTCCGCCCACACAACCCTCCTCTTCCTCCTCCAAGTGGTCGTCCAATGCTTTGCTGCACATTGTCAGCACACCACCACCAAAACCATAACCATCGCCCTGCTTGATGCAGGTGTTGGGAAAGGACAGGGCAGGCAGGCCCACCTTGCGCTTTTTCAGCCGGGGCGGACTCAGCTATCACCATCTTTCGGTGTGTGCAAGTCTCCTGTAATGGAGCTCTCTGGAGGCTTTTACCTGCTTGTGGTGCAAAAGCCTCCCTCGTGTACCTTACCTTACTCGTGATATGACACCGTCTTATCATCGGGAAATCACTTACCTTATCAACAAAGATTGAGCGTCAAAACTCAAACCCGCTGTTCCCAGCAAGACTGCATTCTTCCGGTCGCCCATCCGGTGCTTGTCTTGTCTTGTCTTGTCTTCTCTCCCCGCCCCTGCCTGTCTTGTTTTGCCTGTTAAATTCACCCTATTCCACTTTCTCCAGTCTTGTTATCTCGCCTTCAGCTGCCACCCACACTGAAAACAAGGCGGCTACAGAATACACACCAATCGCCTGAACAAGGGGGAAGCGAGCACGTTCTGCTCTTTGCTTTGACACACCGCCTCAAATCCATGTACTAATTGCAGCTTCCGCGCTCTCTAGGCTCCCTGTTACTTGTTGCGCCCTCTTAGTCGCGCCTAGATCAAAAGCTCGTCCAGCCCCGACTACTACACCCAGCAGCACCCCCGATCATCTTCAACTCGGCTGCAAGTAGTTGTATTTCTCTTTTCTACGTATTCGAACAAACCACACAGTCAAAATGTCTACCGCATCAGTACAACAACCGATTATCCCTCCCCGACCTTCTAGGAGTCAGGATAAGGAGGAGAACACCAACACTTCGTCTCTCCCCAAAATCCCTCCTCGTCCCATCAAGCGTTTCGACCGCTCCGTCTCTCCGAATCCCGATCGATATGCGCCCTCTCCACTGAACGAGAGCCCTTTCTCAAAGAGCCCCAAGGCTACTCGTTCCTCGCCGAGCAATGGCTTCCTCTCTTCTCACGACCCTATCCATCACCGCCCCGGTAGCGTGTCTATGCCTTCCGTTGGTGAGGAGGGTAACGAATACGATGCCATCAACGATGGATTTGTCAAGCCGCCTCCCAAGGCACCTTCATCTCCTGAACACACCCGCTTCGCTGCGGAAGATCTGAAGCTTCACGCTCCTAAGCCCACTGTTCCGGCTCAGAGTGCCAAGCAGAGAGTTATGGCAGTGACCCGCACCGATTCGGATAAGGCTGCCTCCTTTGGCATTGGCAAGCCCAGCAGTGACGACACCAGACCCAGCAGTCTCAGGAAGAAGGCCAGCTCGAGTGCCCTGTCTCAAAAGTCAGAGAGTGCCTACGGCGATGAGGAGCATGGCATCCCCGAGATTGGCCAGCGTGTTCCCATGAACCCCCACTTGGGTGACGTCCAGGCTCCTTCTCCTGCTCCTGGTTCTGGCGCTGCCCCCGAGAGCCTCAGGTCGGGAACTCCGCGAAACCACTCCCGCAAGCACAGCTCGCGTGGTTTCAACGAGCTCCCTCCTGGCAGCTACGGTCTTCATGGCCACAGCACAGCTTTGCCCACCGACAAGTTTGAGAAGGCCTGGTACGACAAGCACCCAGATTTCCTGAAGAAGGACTGCAAACCTTCTCTCCACGACCGCCAAAACGACTACGCCATGAGCAGCACGGACCTGAACAAGATTGTCAAGGAGACCCACAGCCGTGGTTCTGGCATGGGTAAGTCGTGCAAACATAATTCCACGAGTATAGAGGCAGCCACTAACTTGAACAGGAACCTCCGCTTCATATGTTGGCACCCCCAGCGAGGAAGTTGGATACCAGGCTTCTGCAGAGTACACCTCTCGCATCTCCTCCCCTGAACTTCAGCGCATCAAGTCTCCTCAAAGTCCCTCGAAGGATTCTCATCCTCAGGTTTCTGTGTCTTCTCCGGACAATGCGACCGGAAGCGATGACGGTATCGTCCACGTCGACGAATCTCACAACCGCCGCAGGAGTTTCGTGTCGCACGACCCTGGACACGAGAACAAGTACAACGCACCTATTCTGGCCGAAGACGAGTCTGGAGGAGACGTCCACCCGTATGACCTCCAGCCCGCTGTTGAGCCCCCACCAGAGCGCTCCGGCAGTGCCTTTGAGATGGAGAAGCCGAACCGTCCCACAAGTCGACCCACTAGTATTTACAACAACAACCAGTCACAAACCGACCTGGTACACACCCCACTTGAGGATGTTGAAGAGTACGAGCCACTCTTCGACGAGGAGCGCCCGGAGGGCAAGAAGTCTGAGGCCGAGGCAGCCAGCTCGAAGCCTCGTCACAAGTTCCCAAGCAAGGACGTCTGGGAGGACGCCCCCGATAGCGTCAACTATACCGCCGAAGTTTCGACCCCGGAGCCCACAGAATCAGAACGACCTTCCTCCAGACGCCGTTCCGAACTTCCCACAGAAAACCCCGCCTTGGAGTTTGCCCGCAGACAAGAAGAACTCGCAGAGCAGGAAGGCCGTGGGGTAGATGCAAAGCAGATGAAGCCAGTGCCTGCCGCTCTCCAGAAGGCCAAGGAAGACGCTCGCCCGACCATGTCGAACCGGTTTCCCAGTCGCGACGTCTGGGAGGATACGCCAGAAAGCGCCATGCACGAGGCTATCGTGGACACACCTGAGCCAAAGGATGAGTCCCCGGTAGAAAAGCCGTTTGTGCCAGCACGCCCGCAGAAGAAGGATTCACAATCGAGCGCTACCGCAGAACCACCTTCCATTCCTGAGCGGCCAAGAAAACAGAACTCGACAAGTGAGGATAAGGCTAAGCCGGCTGTCTCGGAGAAGTCAAAACCTCAAATTCCTGCTCGCCCTACCAAGACCCTTCCTTCCGGCGTCGACTCCAAGGAGCAAGACTCTGCTCCCAAGCAGAAGCCAGCTATTCCTGGCAAACCTGCCGGAGGCAAGATCGCAGCGCTCCAGGCCGGTTTCTTGTCTGACCTTAACAAGCGCCTTCAGTTGGGACCTACAGCTCCGAAGAAGGAAGAACCCCCCGCGGCGGATGTTGCTGAGGAGAAGGAGAAGGCGCCCCTCGCTGATGCTAGGAAAGGTCGTGCTCGTGGTCCCCAGCGTAGGGCTCCGGCGGCGAAGAGCCCAGCTCCCGCAGCTGTTGAGGCCAAGTCCGGACCTACACTCTCATTCTCTCCTCTCAGAAT